GTCCTGGTGGGAAGCTTCCCTCCAGCACAGGAACCACACGAGGGTAATGACCTCACTTCCGGTGGCCACCCAGTGATGGAAGGCCACACCTCACTTAAGAGTGAGCGGGGCTCAGAGAGGGGGCTCCACAAACCTGAGCTGGCAGGGCAGGGAGGCCTCCAGGAGGCAGGAACCAGAGGCCCAGCAGGGACCGGGAGGGGCGCATCTAAGGCTCCTGGCCAATCGGCGCAGGGCTCCCCACTGCAGGTGAGGAGGAGCTTGTTCATACGGGGAGCCATATCGACCAGCCATCCCTGAGGTGTGCCTCCCGGGACTCAGGGTAGTGGGCACTATTCAGAGCTGTAGACCCCTGTGAGGGAGGGAGATGAGGGAGCCCCTTCCCAGGCCCCTGGCCAGGAGACCCCCACAACCGAGCAGCCGTTGCCCGGAAGGAGTGCCAAGAGCCCCAGGGAAACAGCACAGGCAGGAGGCTCCAGAGGGACACAGCCTGGGAAAGGGGCTGCCAGGTGGGTGATGCCAGCCTGAGTCTGTCTTCCGGGCTGTCTGGAGGGTCCCCAGAGGGTGGCTGGCCTCTCCAGGCCCCCCATATCCCACAGGTCAGCCAGACCTAGGGCTTTGCCACCGGCCCAGGAGGGAGATCTTGCCGTGGCCACCCCATCCGCAAACAGGCAGCGTGCCAGGGGGAACAGGAGAGCTGCCGGCCAGGCGCGGGCACAGCAGATGGGGAGCCCACTCACCGTATCGGCTGTTAAATAGGATCTGCACGCACTCCCGCAGCGTGTTGATGTCCTCGGTTTCCTTGATGAAGGTGTCCCACTTCTCTATCAGAATACAGGAGGTGCACGTGAGAGGCTGGGGCAGCCACAGGGCCTCTGCCGGCCTGGCCCTCCCACCCACCGCCTTCTCGGCCCCCGGACCTCCGGCTTCCTCAGGACGTTCCAGGTGCCCTGTCTGCTCGCTCCTAAGAGGCCACTACGCCTGACCCTGGGGCAGCCTCTGTCCGCCCCCATGGGCACCCGGGGCGGTACAGGCTCAGCAGGTGCCTCCGGGACCCACCTGCTCTGAGCATGCAGGAGGTGGCCGCGTGGTTGTGACCTCAAAAACCTCACCCTGCCCCCTCATGGCTGGTGGTCTCTCCTGGGTGGGCCCGGTGTGATCCCTAAAAGCAACACCTTGAAGTGGTTAAGCGCTTATCTGTGCTAAAAGGAGCGCTGGGAGCTGAGTGGTTGGTTATGCATTGGGTTGCTAACTGCCAAGGCCGGCAGTTCAAAACCACCAGTTGCTCAGAGGGAGGAAAACGGGCCTTTGTACTTCCGTAAAGAGTTCCAGCCTGGGAAACTCAGAGGGGCAGTTCTGCCCTGTCCTATAGGGCTGCTGAGAGTCGGCAGTGAGCGAGCGAGTCTCTGTGCCGAGCATCTTATAGACTAGGGCAAGTCAAAAAGCCACAGGAACCTTTATTCAACAACATCAAAAAGAGGCTGTCTCCCGGCATCCGCTTCACGTAGGCCTCCAGCTCCCGAAGGCGGCGTCCCCTCCTCTCTGGGAAGAGCTCTGCATGTCCGATGGACACCCCATTGAAACAGCAGCTCGGGTGTGCTTGACCCAATGGATGGATGGATGGACTATGATAGGAGTTGTACGAGCCCCCAATAAAATAATTAAAAAGCAAAACAAAACAAAAACCAGCAGCCCGAAGCCTCGTGGGGGCCAAACTGTGCTTCTTAGACGTGTGTCTCTGGGTCTGGGAAACAAGAAGAAGTCTGACGGTGCCAGATCAGGGCTGTGGGTGGACGGGGAAGGCTTCCCGGTGGAATTCTCCCGGGAAGGCCCTTGCCTCCTTGAAGGATGAGCAGCGCACGGTCGGGATGAAATGAGTCTTCTTCGGCACAACTTCCTCGGGCTTTTTCCTCACCTGAGCAGTCGTCAACTTCCTGCACCTCCTCCAGAAGGAGCCCCTCCTAACCACCCCGTGGTCCTTCGAGAGCAGCTATCAAACAACAACAGCCAAACAGTCCCCATCACTGTCGGGCGGGCTGGCCTCTCTACCTCGGCTCTCGGTGGCCCAGAAGATGCCCCGGAACCTTCTTAGTAAACCCAGGAGTGCTCTCTGGAAAAGCCTGGCTCCATGAAACCGTCTTCGTTGGCGTCTCTCTCGCCTTCAAAGCCAGATGGGAAGATAGGTGCTTTGAGCTAGTCCGGGGTGATGGGGGGTGGAGTGGGGCTACTCTTGTGAGGGTACAGAGCAACCACTGAGAAATTATTTGAGAGCATGAGTCCATTTTTATCTGAATGACACAGCCTTTCACGTGTTTAAGTGGAACTAGGAGAGTTGAATGTTCACTCTCAATTTGTGTTCAGAGCCACCCGTATGTGCTTGAAGGCCCCGGCTGGCTGGAGAGCCTCAGTGTGCTGACCCTTAGCTAGCCCATCTTCACTGACGCTGTTGGATCCTTCGAGCCAAAGGCCCGCAGAGGCCAAGACCTTCCCTGGTGACGGAAAATGCCAGTCCTGTGCGGCCTCAGCATCCGTGGCTCTCGAGCCCGCGGTCAGCCTACGGGTCCTCTTCCACTTTTTCTGGACTTCAGCCACTGTTTCTTCGTAGTGCGCCGAAGCCGACTTGGTCTGCCCTCTCCTAACTCAGCGCTGAGGTCTTCCCTACCTGTCTCACACCTGGCTGGATGCATCTGCACGCGTGCTGTCTGTGGTGCAGGGTGGCACTGCTGCGGGCTTGTTGCAAGGCTCCGATGTTTCGGGAAGACGCTTTGATGAACCTTTAATGCTGGCCTTGACCTCCGAATCGCTCCCCTTCCCTTGGACACCAAACACGCCCTCCTTTGGGAAGATGCCCCAGGAGACCTTGTGGGCGGCCACCCTCGGATCACAGAGACAGGCGTCTTGTTTGGAAGACGCCCGTTCGCCCGTGAACGGGAACCCTAGGAGCGATACTTCCTGACAGATCACGGTCCTGTGACCCTACATGTATCCCACTTCGGCCCGCAAGACAACCTGGAAGCACAGCTGTTGCAGAAGGGGCACCCGTGGGGAACGGGAGGCTCAGAGAGGCTGGGTGCCCTGCCTGAGGCCCCCCAGCAATTCTCTCACCCAGCGCTCACTGCGGGCGGGCTCTCACGTCCCTCCCGGCTCTGGGCTGGACCTTGTTTGGGGTGGCGAGGTTTCCGTTCTGATCCCAGGAGGCCGTGTGTTCTAGACGATCCTCCCCGGGTGTACAGCGGGGACCTCCACAGCGAGGAACTGCCGGGACTTTCTCAGTCTAGTTTCATGCCCCTTTGCTACCACGGATGCCCCGGGCGGGTTTTTCTGCTCCCAACCCGAGAGTTTATAAGATGAGGGGGCTTCAAGCCCCCTTTTAACAGGATTTGAGACTCCTCTCTTCCGACGATGGAGTTTAATCTGCCGCCTCTGAATGTGGCCCACACCAAGTGTCTCGTGCCCGACGGGCAGGCGATGGCAGAAATGGCCGAGGTCTTGAGGGGTAGGGCCTCAAAGGCTCGCCCCATACTCTCTCTTGGATCACGGACTCTGTGCGAAGCTGCCATCCAGAGAGGCCCACCCAGGACGGAACTGAGGCCACTCGCCAGCAGCCGCATGAGGAAGCGTGGAAGTGGATGCTCCAGCCTCGAAGTGGACGCTCCAGCCCCGCCAAGCCTTCTGTTGACGGCGGCAGTCCCCCACCCCCACCCCGCCGCCGCCACCTTGCCCACAGCCTTGTGAGAGACCCTGAGCTAGAACCACCCAGCTAAGCTCTTGATTTCCTGACCTATGGCTGCAGGGGCTAACTGTGCTTGCTGTTTACAGCCACGTTCCGCGGCAATTCCTTAGGCAGCTGAATCATGACTACCCCCGGAGCCGAACCAACACCTTGTCCTCACAAGGATGAGCTCCGGAGCCACTGAGCAGCCCCCGTCCCCACCCCACCCCCGCCCCCACCCCCGGCCGGGACGCTGTCCTACCCGACTTGTCATGGACGATGGAGAACAGGATGCGCTTGGACGCGTGCACGTTCTGAATGAGAGGCCCGCCAGTCCCGGGGGGCTTCTGTCCTGGACCAGGGAGAGGAAAGATGCAGGTTTATGGGGGGCCCCGCCAGGGGGCTCCCCAGGCCCTGTCCGAGTCCGCAGCATCATGTGTCAAGGAGACCCCCAAAGTGGTGATGGCAACCTCGTGGTAAGCACCTCCCTGACCCAGGGCCCGAGCCATTCTTTCTGAAGACCGCTCCCCAACGCCAGAGCCAGGAGGGTGGGGCCCGCGAGGCCGCTCTCGCAGATGGGCCCCTGTTTCAGGCGGGAAGTCCCGCTTCCTTCCCCCACCAACTGACACGCTATGTGGAGGGGCGGGGACCTTTTCTCTCCTAATCATAACGATAATGTGACACAGCTATCCATGCCCACTATTTTAAGCCCCTACTATGTGCCAAGCCACAGTGGTCACACACTGGGCTGCTAACGCCAAGGTCTGCCAGTTCAGAGCTACCCGCTGCTCCGCAGGAGAAAGACGGGGCTCTCTGCTCCGTCTCAGAAACCCACAGGGGGGTGCTGCCCTGTCCAGAGGCTGCCTAGGAGTCGGTGGCAGGGACTTTGGTTCCGTTTGGTCTGTGCCAACCGGGAGCCCTGGTGGCATAGTGGGTCCGTGTAGGGCTGCTAACCATAAAGTCAGAAGTTCAAAACCATCCATCTGCTGCTCCGTGGGAGCAGGGTGAGGAAACTCAGAAACCCACCGGGACAGTGCGACCCCATCCCTTGGGGTCTCCTCAATGGCCGTGAGTTTTCATTTTTGAGGGCGCACCAAGCACTGCTTCCGTCCCTAAGCTAGAGCGCTCTCAGAACCACTTGGGGGGGTGTCTGATAAGAAACCCACTGCTGGGCCCCCACCCAGAAGTCTGGCAGGGCTGGTGAGGGCCTGCACACTGTCTGGTTGCTTCCTGACTCCTCACCTGCATGGTGGGGGGGCCCATTTTACAGATGAGGACACTGAGGCTCAGAGGTAGAGCTGGCCCCTGGACACACAGCCATTAAACAGAGGAGGCCCACCCAGCCCAGGTGATCCGGATTCACAGCAGCGCTGCACGGGGCTTGCGAGGCTGGGGCTCTTTGTGGGGGTAGACTGCCTCAGCTTCCTCCCGAGCAGCGGCTGGGGGGCTTGAACCGCCAACCTTAGTGCTGGCAGTTCAGTGCACATCCAACAATGCTCCCAGGGACCCAGGTCTCTGTTGCATGCAGCTGTTGTTTCCCCCATTCCTTCAGGACCCCCCACTCAAGTACAATCAGCCAGTGTTCATTACACGGCCTTGCGGGTACCCTGAGACCTTGGTCTCAGGCCAAAATCATTGTCCACAGAGGGATGAGCGGTAGCCGGGTCCTACTGGGTCGAAGCCCTCTACCCAACCTGCCTCCTCCCAGTCCTGAGTCCCCTGACCTGTCTTCTGAGGGCGCCCCATGCAGCCATGACCTCTGTCCACCCCCTATACATGGGGCCCTGGCAGCCAGCCCCCTTACCACAGCAGTCGGCAAAGTCCTGGCCGCTGGGACCTTTGGGTTCTGGCCCGGCCCGGCCCAGGCCTAGGTCACCGGGGGCCAGCGGGCAGGCAGGCGCCTCTTGCTTGAGCTCTCGAATGGCGTGGTTGGGGAGCGAGGTGCTGTACAGGAAGTTGGCCATGGAGGAGGAGGCGGCAGGGGGGGGCGGGTCCTGTGGGGGCACCTTGGGGGCCTGGCTGTGCAGGCTGCAGTCCCGAGAGCCCTTGGATATCAGAGTCACGCCGTTCAGCTCTACCAGGGCCTTTGACTCACGTCCGCTGTCCTCGGGGTGCCTGGGAAAGGGTGGGGTGGCTTCACACCCTCATCGCGCCTGATGGATGCCCACTTCCGCCATCCGTCCCCTCCTCCCCAGACACCCCAGTCCCATCAGGTCTGGACTGCACAGGAGCTCGTTCCAAGGGGACAGGTGGGAAGGTCAGCCCAGAGGGACCGATGGGCCCAGGGCCATCCAGCGGAGCCAGAGTAGGGCCGGGCCTTGTGCCCCTTGCCCACCCACACAGACTCGGTCCATCCTCTCCCTCCTCCCAGGGATCCCCGCTGGGCACCACTGGTGACCCTTAGCAGAGGTGGGCTCAGGTCCAAGCCCTCCAGGGCCGCCCCACCCACCAGTACACGCCAGGGGCCGTCTGAACAAGCCCATCTCCTGCCAGCCTCTAATGCAAGCCATGTGGCTGGCTGGGCGGGCCGCCACCCTCTGCACAGCTGTTCCTGGCACCTGCGCTGGCTCTGGGTGACCGCGTGCCAACTCAAGTCTCTCTGGCCACTTTGCGAGTCCAGCGTGGGAGGCCCTGGGAAGGACACCTGTGACCCAGTGGCCTGGCTCCGGGGTACTTGCGCCAGCAGCCGACTGGGAGTTCTCTGAGCAGGAGCGCGACACCCAACCCCCACCTGCTGTGCAAAGACCCTCCCCTCTGCCTGGACCAGTGGCCTGGAATGCTGAGCCAGCCCCCAGCAGGTGGCCCTCTCCACCAGGCGTCCCCCCAGCCCCCCGTACTCACCGCTTGAGCTTGAAGCGGATGTGGTGGCTGTGCTCTAGGATGCTCATGAGGGCCTTGGGGTCGTACTCGGCCGGCCTCCGGAAGGCCAGGCCCTCGGGCATCCCCTGCACGACCAGCAGTCCCGGCTCCTTGAGCAGCCGCTCGTAGGGCAGCGCCACCACGCTGGCCTTTCCCAGGGCCTCACCTGTGGGGCGGTGGGGGACGTGGTGTGAGAGGGCAGCCAGGCGAGGTCGGGGCCGGGGGCGCCCCTGAGCTGGGCCGATGTGGGGTGACCCTCCCCTGGGTGCCAGTGTCCTGGGGAATGACCCCAAAGGACCCTTGGAAGGGCCACAGCAGAACAACTCTCCACAGGAGGGGGGGGCAGTCCGGGTCACTGGACGAGACCCCCAAGGCCTGCACCCCAGGGCTCCCCTCCCTCTCAATGGGTGGGGGCCTGGGACAGCTCCTCGGGGGCCAAGGGCACGGAGGACAAAGGCGAGAGGGACTGAGGGAGAGGAGAGGGCGCTGATAGGACGGAGAGGAAAAGGGGGCTCGGAGACAGACGAAGGGGACGATGATTGAGGGGGGACCAGGAGCCCCTCGGCAAGGGGACTGAGGATTGGACAGGGGTCCGGGCCCTGTGATATCTCTTGTCACCACCTGCTGTGTTGTGCCCCCCACAGCCAGAAAGAGGCCCTTCCTCTCATTCACCCCTGTCTATGCCGGACATGGCCTGGGGGTGGGCGGGTGGAGGACTCTGGGTGGGGGGGAATCATAGCAGCACAGCCAATGGACAATGACAAGCCCTGCCGGCCATGGTGGCCAGCACAACCACTCAGGGGCCCTGGGGTCCCTTCCTGACCCCAAGTCTCATAGACCTTGGCTCCACAGAACCTGGGGCCACTGGAAGGGCAACTGAGGTGGGGCTTGAGGGACCCGAGTCACCCAGGGAGTGTGAGGGCCATCTGGGGGCCCCATGACCCTCCACAGCCTGAACGCTCTGAAGGTGGCCAGGCCCCCCTCCTCCTCGCCCCCATGCAGGAAGAACTGGCTGGTTCGGCCATTCAACCAACGGGCCCCGAGCAGGACTTGGGACGCCCAGAGCACCTGGGCACAGCGGCAGGGCTGAGCCTCGGAGGACAGGACAGGCAGCCCACAAGAAGAGTCCCTGCAAAGCGCTGCTGTCCTGGAGAACATGGGGGGGCTCCCTGAGACGAGTCCAGCAGAGGGACTGCAGAGTCAGGTGAGGAGAGGCAGGGGGTGGCCACATCGGCGGGCCACTGCCACCACGCTGAGATGCTGATGGCAGCAGGGGCCTGCCCGAAGAGGTGCAGGGAGGAACGAGTCAGAGCTGTCTGTGCGCTGGGCAATGTCGGGGCAGAGAGCCCAGCAAATGCTGGCCTGGAGACAGGAAGACGACCCCAGCAAGCTTGGGCCACTTCCAGGCGAGAAGGAGCAAGCCTGTGGCAGGCCGGGACTTGGGGACGGCAGAAGGTTCCGGAACCGGGGACAGAGGAGAGATTCCAACCGGGGCTGTGCAGGTAAGAGAGGGCTGGGGCACACAACACACCCTTGGCCAGAGTCCAGCTCCGAGCAGGACCCAAAGGGGAGTAGCTGAGCAGGGGCGGGGTGGAGGGGTCTTGCCAGCTGGGCGGGGCCTACAGCTACCTCCCACCAAGTCCCCAAATGGAATGAGGAAGGGTCTTACTATAAAGAACATCAAACACCTCCTCCACCATCTTCCGCAGCAGGTACACGTCCGAGCCGTGCTCCAGGGAGGACCTGGGGAAGCTCCGGCCGCAGCCCTCGCCCCGCGGCACCTTCTTGGGGTGCTCCACCTCCGGCTCCTTCCAGGGGGGCCCTCCTGTGGGACAGAGCATGTGGGGAGATCACAGGACCCTGCTGCAGGGCTCTGAACCCGAAGCAGCCAGGCTCCCCATCCGATGGGGCATGAGTGTGGGCTACCGGGGTCGGGGCTAGACATCTCGGAGTGCCCAGTGTCTGGCATAGGGGCCAGGTCTCATCTCACCTCTGGGTGGGCCTGGATCTAAGCTGGGGGCTGACAGTCACCATCACCTCTGTCCCTCCCTGGCTCTTTGTCCCCAGCCATCCTGATCCTGGTTTCCTGCTTGGCCACAGGGTGAGGACAGGAGTGTGCTAGATCCCTGGGGAATGTACCAGAAGCTGCGTCGGAGGGGGACCAGAGGGCCCCCTGCGGCCCGCTCTCAGCTGGAAGCCTGCTCCCCTCTGGGGATCTGGGAGGCTTGAAATAAACCAGCCAACTTAGGGTGCTATAAATAGCAGAGCCAAGGGGCTCCGAGAAGCCAGGTGCTCCTTCCCCAGCCTGGCCCTGCCACTGCCCACCTCCACCCCCACTTCCACCAGCAGTCAGGCTCTCCCATGACCTTGAAGAAGCTTGGGGGAAGGGGGGGGGGGGGGGGCATCCAGGCCCAGGTGTGGGGTGAACACAGTCTGAATCAGCGAAGCGGGGCTGCAGTGGACAGAGGAAAAGTGAGTGGCGGCCGCTGCCCGCAGGCTGAACGTGTGGACTTGGCACTTCCACCTCCAGCTACCCCACGGGGTGGACAGCACTGTTCTCCCAGACCACAGGTAAGGAGGCTGAGGTCCAGCCGGTCCAGCCAGGATGTGCAGACAAGGGCCTGGCCCCTGCCCCACACTTAACACAATGCCAGAGCCGGACCGTGGGCGCAGACTGCCACCAGAGCTGGAGGCTGGGCTGGAGGGCCTCTGGGTTTGGGGACACGGGGTTCTTGGCAGAGGAGCCTCCAGGGACAGGTACTTGTGGCTCCTGGGAGCGGGCCAGCATCTGGCGGGCAGAGGGAGGAGCCAGGACCTGCCGGGAGGGGCAGGTGTGGGTTCGGGTGAGAACGTGAAAGGCAGCAGGCTGGGGACAGAGCAGTGGAGCGTGGACGTGAGGACCCCAGGGGTGTCGTACACAGGGCCAGGCTAGGTCTCCACAGGGGAAGGGGGTAGGGGCTTCAGAGGGACCCCTCTTGCCTCAAGGTCCCCGTGCCACACCCAGGCAGTGCAGGCAGGTGGAAGTCTCTGTCCTTCTGAACTGACAGGGGCAGCAGATGGAGCCCCGGTCCCTCCCATGAGCTGTGCAGCCCGGGCCCTGGGAGCTGGCCTGTGTGCATTGCACCCCCCTGGGAGCCCACAGCCTGCCCTGTAGCCCACTGCTATGGCGCATGGCTCAGGCTCAGGCACCCGCTCTGGGACCTGAATCCCGGCCAGCAGGGCTGAAGCCGGTACCACTACGTGGACACCCGTGAGGGCTATGCACACAGCGGGTGCTCAACCAACACGGGCTGAACGTGTCCTTGTTCACACAGAGCTGGGGGTCGGGCCGCCCAGCCAGCAGGCTCTATCAGCTCACACAGCCCAATCTGCCCGGTCAGACCAACCCCGGGCCACCCCAGTGTCCGCGGCTGGGCATGGCTGGGGACTCCCAGCTGGGTCCCCAGGGAAGCTTCCAGTAGGGAGCGCAGGGTACTCACGGCAGAACCTGAGGAAGTCCGACTGCAGCTCCTTGCGCGTGTTCAGGAACACCCTCCCCTTCTCCGTGCCCACCACAAAGGCGCTCTCATCGTGCACGGCCACACACGCCACCTCCGCGTTCAGTTTGGAGAGGGCGGAGCACTGGGAGAGGGGCAGCGGGGGTCAGCCGGGGGAACCCCCCCCTCCCAGCACATCTCCCCAGCCAGTCTCAAGCTGACAGATCAGCTGCCTGAGCGCCCAGGAGCAGGCCACTCCCCACCTCAGCACCCCCCTCCCCCAAACTATATTCTCTGCCTGCCTTAGAAGCTCCAGGGGGACACGGGACTGGGTCCCCACGACGGCCACAGGGGTGAGAAGGCATGATGGACACAGGGCTGGAGGACGCGGTAGCCCCTGTGCCTCCAGGCAGGTCCCTTGGCTAGGGGGGTCTTCCTGCCCTGGGGACTCCTGCAGAGTCACAGAGCCAGGAGCCCCGGGAGAACCAGCTTGGCAGACCGAGACTCAGTTTGCCCTGTGCCCCTGCAGCGCGGGCCTGGGGCCAGGGCACACCGTCTCTGGGCCCCGTTTCTACATCTATACAGAGGAGACAGGCATTCCTGAGGGTGGGGCAAACACCTCTCACCTGGGACACCTGTATACATGGGCAGCCGGGGGGTGGGTGAAGCTGGACCCTGTGACAAAGACCACCAGGCCTGCCTCCAAAAAGCCCAGCCGGTGAAGTCCATGGCACAGCCGGGGCCCGAGAGATGCTGGGCTTTACTTGAGTCACGTAGTGTTTGCCTCGCGACTCAGGTCTGCTGCTGTGTGACCCAGGACAGGAGCCTTCCCCTCTCTGGGCCACCAGCCTGCTCCTTGTGCCAGCCCCAACCTGGATGCGTGCCGGTGAGCTGGGGACCTGGGGACCGGCAGGGCAGCTGGCCCGTCACCTGGGCCTCTCCTACGGGCGGGCGGGCATTTGTTTTCAGGTCACTAAGATTAAAACAAGGCCCCTGTGTGGCCCAAACATTGTGTGCTCCTCTGCTGACCTCCAGCTAGGCAGTGCAAACCCACCCAGGGCACTGACCAAGACAGTGCTGGTGAACATCCGCCTCCACTCAGATTTCAGCCAAAGGACCTCCCCGGGAGCCTGTCTGCTCCGTCACGGGAGTCGGGAGTCGGCAATGCCTGGGCGGGAAGGGGCTCGATGGGTTCACGATAGAAACAGGAGTCACTTTGGCAGTTAGGATTTTTGTGCCAACGTGGCACCTGTAAGAAGGTATGGGTGGGGTCCAGCCTGTCAATCAGGTTGCAGCTTGATGACTTCCTTTGGAGGTGCGACCAAGATAAAGGCCTCTCTGAAGGCCAGCCTCTAACCCGCCCCACCACACACACACACACCTCTTCTCTCTCTGCCTCCACCTTCCTGCTGGTGAGCCACCCTGAGACCTGCGTGAGCCCTGTGGTGCTTCCACCGCCACTGGATCCACAAGACCTTGCACCCACCGGCCCGTGATCTCCCTGCGTTCTGCACTGTGGTGTGTGGCTGCGTGAGTCTGAAGAGAGACTTACTCGGGGACTTGAGTTGGATAGGGCTGGGATGTTTTCCTGAGATGCACAGCTTCCTGATAGAAAGCTCTTTCTTAAACACGGAGGGGCGTCTCTGGATTTGCTTCTCTACTCAGCCCGGCCCCCCACACAGCCACACTGGGACAGCGGTCAGAAAGAACAACAGAGGAGGGGCCGCCTGAGCCGAGAGACGCGTCCATCCAGGGTCCCGTCTTTGGTGAGGGCCCAGGTGGGAAACGGACCAGCCCAAAGCCCACAGACCAGGAGCCCCGACGTGCTGGCAGGAGGGTCTGAGGCCGGTTGGCGGCTGGGTGTGAATGACTGCGTGAACACTGAGCTCAGGGACCCTGCAGGGGAGCAGGGGGCAGGAGTTAGGTCACTGCTAGGCAAGTGTCTTGGAGGGATCCAAGGAGGGAGAGGGGGCATCTTGTCATCGAGTTCCCCCTCCACCGCCCCGCTATCCAGGACAGCGACAGGCATTTCAGCTTCTCCACCCAATTCTGGAACACCTTTTGATCAGCATCTTCAACCAGTTCTCTGTGATGGTGGACGCGGGCTACTCCGTGCGGTATTGTCCCAGGCCAAAGTCACTGGTCGCATTGAGCTATTTCATTTAAATGTCAGCGTCAACAGCCCGTCCCCATGCCTCCGTCAGCTGGAGCTTCCATCTCGACAGGACGCGGCATCCCTGGCCCCCCCACGGGTGGCTGCTCTCCCTAGGGAGGGTTAGCAGCCCCTTCATGCAGGGGCACTGGCTAGCTGGAGCCCAGGACCAGGACGTGAATGGCACGAAGTGATGCTATGAGGACCAGGGCTCAGGGAACCAACGTTTCTCTCTTCCTCGGGCTGGACTTCTGCAGACCTGGACCTCCCTTGTGGCTCTGGCTTTGCAGAGGGGGCGGGGGCCGGGGCAAGCACTCACCATAGAATCTAAGGCAGACACGAGGCTCGTGATGATCTCGTCCTTTCGGGCAAAGGCAGTGCTCCAGCGGTCAGGCCCACAGCCGTTAGCTGGGACTTCACAGCGCTTCCCCAGCAAGGCCATGGTCACCTGCAGAGAGGGAGGGGACCTGGTGGGTGCCTGACAGAGCGGGGCTACCTACCCAGGGGCCCACCCACAGGCCTCTAGAGCAAACAAAGGCGAGGGCAGCAGTCAGTGCAGGGGGCCCAGTGCTCCAGGGCCCTGTGCGTGGTCCGGGCCCAGGCTGGGAGCCTGTGCAGGTGGGCTGGCTCATGAGAGAGCTGCAGGGGTCCTCGCACCGGTCACTTGGGCTGGAGTGCCTCCAAGGGGCGCGCAGCCCAGGGGTGGGGCCGAGGGGTCCACACGGGAGTGCCTGCTCCACCACCATCCACCTCACTCCCCAAGTTCAAGGGCCAGAACCAGGCCTGCCGATGCTGCTCTCCAGGGCCCAGGGCCCAACGCGCAGGGCAGGCCGGGGCCACAGGGCCCAACCTCAGACATCGGAAAAAGTCCCAGATGCCCACCAGCGCCCACGCAGAGCTGGCATCAGGGGGTCTCAACTCAGAGGGACCCTGATGGGCACGGGCTCTGAACCTGCTCTGGACCCCAATCAACTCACGGCTAAGTCCGTCAGGCCTTGGCCCAAAATATGTTTTCGGTTCCCTCCTGACTATGTGCAACATGGTTTGTCTCTGCGGTTGCAGTCAACTGGAAAGCCGTCATGGTCAGGGGAAGGGAGGCCGGGTGGGACATGTGTATGGACCGAAGCACCCGTGGCCACAGCTAGGGACCATCTGTGGGTATCAAGTCCACCGATGGGTCTACCTGCCCCTGTGCAGCAGGTCAAAGTCTGCCCACTGGAGGACCTCATTGGGCCTCCTTCCTGTGGCCAGTCCCTTAGGCCATTCCCACAAAGGCCTGGGCTGCCGGCTTCGCAGCTGTCCAGTCCAAATCGAATCAGGGCCAAGCAGGAAGGCACCAGACAGCCCTGGCCTCCTGAGCAGCTCAGACTCCGCTGTCTCCTTCCGGGCATCCTAATCCACTTAGGGAGGAAGCCGGGACTCAGGGAGGGGCCGGGTAGCAGGACGCACTTGGGGAGCAGGGAGTGAGCAGCCCCTCCTGTTCCCCAAACACACAAAGCCCTCAGAGAGGAGCAGGTGCCCCCAGGGCTGGGCAGAGGGGCAGGAGTGAAGGCCAGGAGCCAAGGCTGAGACCCGATCATTCAAGCCCTCTGCAAAGTGGGGGTACTTCTAAATGGGAAAAGGGGGGCAAGAGATATCCCCAACCACAGAGCACCGACATAAGTAAGCAGTGTGCCCGGACTTGGGAATCCACACGAGAGAGACCCCGGGAGGAGGGGAGGGTGGGAGCCGGCCAGGACCTCTCAGCATGGTCTACAGAGGATGGGAGGGTAGGCAAGGGGGCTGTGTAAGCTCTCCTCGGTGCCACCCAAGACAGGACACCAGGGGTGACTGATGGAGCTGAAGTGAAAGCTGAGGATGGCGGTGATGGACAGCTAGCTCCTGACCAAGGAGATGCCCAGCCGGGAAGTCCTAGTGAAGAGGGGCTTCCGGTCACCCTGGTTTCTGGGTGGCCAGACCCCTGAGGACACAGTCCCCCTCCCTGCCCCCCCAGCCATGCTCAACTCCCTGCCACTCCTCCCATGGCTCTGAGCACTGGATGCTGCCGCCCTGGGCTTGGACCCTGACCCTCGTCTCTTCTCTGCCCAGCTGCCTCCTCTCCACCTGGTCTCCTTAGAAACGGCTCCAGACTGGGAGCCTGGGGTTTTGTGCCTCGGGCTTCCCTGTCACCCATGCAGGAGCTCAGCCTGAACACCTAGGAGACTGGCCTGCCGCCTGCCTCCCATGCACCCCAAAACAACCCTCCCAGCTCCTGCTGGCTGGGCTCCCTAGGGCACCTCAAGCCAGCCACTGCCAGGCCCAGGTCCCCTGGCTCCTCCCACCCCCACACCCAGTCCTTCTGCCAGACTGCAGCCGCAGGGATCTTGCTCAACTAGAGTTGAGTCATCTGCTTAGAAACATCCCCTGCACTGCCTGAGTTCAAGGCCACGGACCAGGTGGGGGAGAGATGTAGCCTGCTGTCTTTTCCTGACAACCTCCTGCCTGTGGACTGGGTCCCTCACGGTGACACAAGGACCAACAAGGACCAGCTGATTCACAGCTGACCCATGACGAGCAGACCAACCTGTCCTGGTGTGCCCAAGATGTCCCTGAGGCTAGCACTCAGAGTCCCGGGCACACTGGACCGGTGGGTCGCCCACGTATGACGTACGACAGCACAGGTGAGATATGGGCACCAACAACAAAGGGCAGGAGCAGGTGGGCAGTTCCAATCCCACCTTCAGCCCTGAGCTTCAAGTTCACTTATATGAGGTGGGGGCTGGGCTGGGGGCTCCTCCAGGAAGGGGAGTAAGAGGGAGCCCCCACCCCAACAAGAAGAGCATGCAAGAGGTGAGGAAAGGATGCCCCAGGCCAGGCCGGGGTGGGGTTGAGGTGGGGACGGACGGTCTCATCTCACAAAGCCCCACCTCACCTCGGCCAGGCTGTCAGGTGGAGACCCTGGTCTACCCACTCAGGTGGGGCCACGGGGTCAACTCCTAGGTCCCTGCCCCCTGCCCAGCCCTCAGCTCTTGGTGGCAGGGTCACAGAGCACCCAGGAAATGGCACTTTTAGGCTCCCAGGGGGTCTGATACACAGCCTTGATCCCTGAGATGTTCACTGCTCCAGCGTCTAAAGGGGCTGGGCGTTTCCTGCCCGCTGCCACCGGCCCTTGCCAGGGATTCTCGCTGCCCACACAGACAGCATAGCCGGAGCTGGCCTGGTCCTTGAGCCAGAGACTGGCCAGGCAGTCCTGTCCATGGCTGAGTTGGTGCTGCCTAGGCCCCACGGCAGACCGGCTACATCTTGGCCCACCTTGGTCCACTTTCCAATGCCCTCCGCGTGATAACAAGGCTGTTCACACCTGGTCCATGGTCAGGGGGAGTCACCAGAGGCTTCATGCAGGTGTACTTCACCTTCACTTTTTGAAAACTGAAACCATTTTTGAATGGGTCGAATGGGGGGTCAAATCAGATGTTACATTTTGACCTGGCTACACTCCCACACTCCGGACACACTCCCACGCTCCGTCCCACAGCTACGGCCAGAGAGGATTTACCAGCGGCTTGGGCTGCGTGTGAACCCTGCAGATGGATGTTGGGCTTCCACTGTCAGCTACCACCTTAGACCAGATGTTCATGATTGACAACAGTGGTTCTCAACCTGTGGGTCTCGACCCCTTTGGGGGTTAAACGACCCTTTCACAGGGGTTGCCGAAGACCATCGGAAAACACATAAATAGTTCACAATATATAATGACATACTGTCTTGTGATTCATCACTATGCTTTATGTTTTAATTATGTTCAATGTGTAACCATGAAAATACGCCCTGCCTATATCAGATATTTACATGACAATTCATCACAGTAGCAAAATGACAGCGATGAAGGAGCCATGAAGATTTTATGGTTGGGGGGTCCCCACATGAGGAACTGTGTTAAAGGGTTGCAGCGTTAGGAAGGTTGAGAACCACTGACTTAAAAGCTCCAATGCCATTCCCACCGATGGATAATGCTTGGATCACACACTTGTTCGGATGTCTCACTTACAGCCACACCTTCAAGACCGGGTGCTATTCTTTCAGACCGCCGGGCACCATCTAGTTTCTCCAGCACCCTTAGTTCAGCTCCTTTCCCCTCACGCTTCCCCCGGGGACATTCCTGCGTGTTTCCTGTTTCCCGCTCAGTGAACTGCTGCCACGCCCCACTCACAGATGTTTGAGGGAATGGCTCACGCGGAGGTGGGTGCCATTTGGCCCACAATCCGAAGGGAGGCAGTGCTAAGCCTAACGCTGGGTCCTCCAGAGGACCCCCTCCACACGCTGGGCTCTGCAGGTGATGACTTTCCGCCCACCCACACCCCAGCTTGTCAGAGGGCTCATTTGATATGCAGCAGGATGGCACTGCAGGAAATGCTGATTACCGTGACCCACAGGGGAATCCTATCCGTGTCTACCCCCATCTTATCAGACCCATGCAGGGAAGCAAGGTCGTTAGGTGGTACACTGAGTATCAATTGGTACAGTCAAAATAATAGGTAACCCTTCACCTTTCTAAGGATGCTCGAGTATAATGATCTGATCTCCACCCCTGGACTGTATCAAGATGATTTAAGCATAATGTGACCCGGAGCCTCTGGCAAAATGCTTCCAGTTGGCATCGCTACTATTGTTGCTACGTGGCATGAGTCGGTCCACTTGCAGCGACCCTATACGAGGAATGAAGCACTGTCCGGTCCCGCCTGCGGTCCTCACAATTGTTCTTATGCTGGAGCCCATCAATGCAGCCACGGGGGCAATCCATCTCGTTTTTCGCCACCCCTCCACTTTACTAACCGGGGACTGGTCTCTTTTGACAACATGGCCAAAGGACATGACACGGAGACTCCCCGTGCTTGCTTCTAAGGAGCTTTCTGGATGGACTTCTTCCGTGACAGAATCTCTGTTCCTTTGGTGTGCCACGGTCCTTTCCTCATTCTTCACAAGCACCGTAATGCAAATGCATTGGTTGTCCTTTGGTCTTTATTCGGTGTCCAACTTTTACATGCATATGAGGTGATTGAAAACACCATGGGCCAGGTGCAACTGAGCCCTCAATGTAAGATACTTGCTTTTCGACACTTTTAAGAGGTCTTGGGTGGCAGACTTACCTGGATCCCTTGACTGCTGCTTCCACGAGGAGTGATTGTGGATTTGAGCAAGACAATATCTTTGACAACGTCGATCTTTTCTCCATTATGACGTGACCTACTGGCCCAGGTGTGAGGGTTTGGGAATTCTTTCTATGGAGCTGGCATCCATACTGAATGCTGTCATCTTTGAACTTCATGTGCTTAAAGCCAGGGCTTCAAGTTATCCTCAATTTCAACACGCAGCGTTGTGTCACCTACATAAGTCGTCCTCCAATGCTGACCCCCATTCTTCTTCTTGTAAGTCAACTCCCTTGCTGGGCACAGTGAGAGGACTCA